CAACAACCACCGTGACATAGTCCTGCAAAAGGGCTGCTGACCTGCGATTACATTAAATCATATCAGGCAACCTCCTCAATTCAGAACGAATGCTATTCAGGAGGAAGCTTAGGAGAAATCCTGTTTTTTTTTTTTCATATAGAAATTCTTAAACAGCAAATCTTTCTCTGTGCATCCTTTATTTGCCCTTTGCTTTATACATATATTAGTCAACTTTTCCATAAGAACACAAAGGAAATAGTATCTCCATTCTTATAGAGAATAGTCAGGGGAGGCCAAACAAGCCAAGTTGCTGAAGTTCACATGATCAGATGGAGGCAGAGCCAAGCTTTAAATCCAGGCATGTCTGGCTCTGAAGCTGGGGCTCTGCCACAGGCACTGCGCCGGTCTTCCTGGAAACTGAGCATACCCAACCCACTGCACCTCACCTTCTTATGCAACAACCTGGAGGGTACGGAGAGCCATCTGCTTCAAGAGCAACAGATTGGAGTCCATAAGGCAAATAAGTTGGCAGAAAACAGAAGGATTGTGACATTGCCACTTGGCATTCCCGACGTATTCTGCATTTATAAAATAGAAATATGTAGTCCAACATGTTGATTTCACAAGCCTATCATTATCATTCATTCTGAAATAAACATAGTCAGGGACATCATGTACAAAATAAGGAATCCTTGTTTTGGGAGATGATGTCAGACAGTAGAAGTCTTTTTTTTTTTTTTAAATCTCCTACCTCCTAAAGCACTAGCTTACAAGTGACTTTATGAAATATACTTCAATACTGAGGCCAATGAAGGAAAAAAACACGTGAGGGAGAAAACTTGGAATTAAATTTAAGAACACATGATCACAGGATTATTTTAAAGGTAATATTGATTGTAATAGTGCTTTCAAAACTGGTCAGTTTCAAGGCTGGTCAGTCAAATTCACCTGAAGAGCTTTTAAATTATATATATATATATATATATATATATATATATGTTANTGACTTCACTTTCTTTTACTTTTTTTCTTTCACTAATAACAAGGCAATTAGTAGAGAAAAAAAAATTAGAGAAGTCAATCAGTTTATCTCAATATGGTTATATTTAACTGGGAAACAAAAATGACCCTAAAGAATTAGTCTTGTCTTGTTTGTGTGTTAGTGACAGTCGTGTCTGACTTTGCGACCCCATGACTGTAGCCCACCGGGCTGCTCTGTCCATGGGATTCTCCAGGCAAGAACACTGGCATGTGTAGCCATTCCCTTCTCCAAGGGATCTTCCTGACCCAGGGATCAGACTCAAGTTTCCTGCACGGCAGGCCGATTCTCTACCATCTGAGCCACCATGGAAACCCAAAGAAGTAGTAAGTGTGGCCTGAGAATGAGCCAGACTATTTTAATAAAAGAAAAAGAAAAATAAAAAAAACCCGACTGTAAGAAACTCTTACAGTTGATTCTCAGATGCTTTCCCAGAAGCCCCAAAGAATTAAAAAAAAAAACAAAAAACAACCTTCAGGATGCACCTGTTGATTATTTCAGCAGCCTGAAGCACAGGAACCGACTAGCCCACCCAGAAGGTACTGTGAATTTTACATCAGGTATGTGCCCATGCTTCTAGTAATAGCCTCTCTTTTTCTTAGAGAAGAAAACTCTAATCCACACTCACATACAGAACATATGGCTAAGATTATCCTGGGAGATGTAGTTCCCAGATTCTCCTCTGCTATACGGGTATAGCAAGGAAGGAGTTGAAACAGAGAATTTCTAGCATAATCTTTAAATGTTTAGAATAAGAAAAGGTATGAAAATAAATAAACTGAACATTGGTTGGGGTTCATTCAGGGAAGCAAATTACTCTTAAGTGTTTCAACAGAAAGAACTCAACAGAGGGAATTTGCTGAACAAGTGCTAGACGACAGAAAGAGGAAAATGAGAACAGTAGGAGGGATCATTACAAAAAGCTGCTATCACTCTTAGGGGTGGAGAGGTCAAAAGAAGAGGCTGAGATGATCAGAATCTAGAAGCTTCATGGTAGGAGCCTATGACGTCAGGACTCGCGATTGCAAGGGAGGGTGCCACCTTGCTGGCTGCTGCTGGTATCTTAGGAGCTTTTTTTTTTTTTAAGGTGTTTATTTTTATTTTGTTTTGGCCATGCTCTATGGCATGTGGGATCTTAGCTCCCCGACCAGGGTTTGAACCCGTGTCTCCTGCATTGAGAGCATGGAGTCTTAACCACTGGACCACCAGGGAAGCCCTCTTAGGAGCTTAAAGGAAGGAATGGGGATGCTCTGAGCAGGAGATGCTGCCCAACTGGTGCTGGTCCTTCAGAAGATTGAAAGAGGTCTTGTGTCATTCTGACATCACGAGTAGGCACTGTCTAACTGCTATTGTAAACTTTTATCCCTTCTGCTGCTGGGATAAAAGGCAAGTAGGGTGACCTGATAGGATAAATCAGCAAGCGTGAATAGACAAATCCCTTTTTCCTTCCTGCCATCCAGTGTCCCCACTAGTTCCTCCTACTGAAGGAAACAGTAGCATTTACAATACAGTGAACTGCCTGTTGTTTGCAGACCTGTCATCACAAAGCAGAGTGTAAAATTTGGAACCAATTACCTGGCACATAATTCAGTGGAAAATTTCAGAAAATAGCAACAGAATAAGTCAAAAGAAAGTATAAGGTAGAAATAAGAGAGGGAAGAGAAGAAACATATAAAATAGAATAGGGACATTTGCTGAAGAGGACCAGTAAAACTAAATTTTTATTCTTTGAGAAAACTAATACAGTAAAACTTTAGCAAGTTTGAGGCAGAAAAGAGAGAAAAAAACAATATTAGACATGAAAAACATGTAGCTGAAGATGCAGCAAAGATAACAAATGAAATGTGAACAACTTTAAAAGTTTGGAAGCACATATCACAGAAAAATATAATTATTAAAGTTGATGCATAGAGAGATAGAAACTTGAATGTTCCTAAAGGAGCAATGAAATCAGAACAGCAGAAAAAAGCATTCTCACACACAAAAAGGATTAAAAATGCTAGGCTCAGATCGTTTCAAAAACAGATAATTCTTGTTTCTCTGTTTAATTTTTGTGTCCTTGATTTCAATAAGCATTTCATACATATGTGTTTTTATTTCATACCTAACAATACCAGTATTTCCAGTCTTTGAAGGGGGAGGCATTAATAACTATTGTTCACATTTCTGTTAATAGTCTTTGTAGCTTGCCTTCTAATGTACTTGGTGTTCTGTGATTTTGAACTTACTGTGATTTTAATATGTGTGACATCCGTACATGGAAATGAAGGCATCTTTCTTCCGAAGAGGTGTTGCTTCTCTTTTCACAAGTAGCCAGGAAGACACCACTGGAGCCTTAGGTTTCAGGCTCAGATTCGGCTTCATCCAACCTGGCATTTTGCATCTATATTCTGCATAAAAGTTAATTAAGCAAGGATACAATATACAACCTTGATGTACTCCTTTCCCAGTTTTAAACGAGTCTGATGTTCCGTGCCTGATTCTAACTGTTGCTTCTTGACCTGCATACAGGTTTCTCAGGAGACAGGTACAGTTNAGTCTTGATTCACCTTCTGGCCTTGAGAGCAACCTTAAAATCTTTGCTTCTGTCTGGTATCACCTCCAGTGGTCTCCTTTCTTGTTCCAATTCTATACACTTCTCTTTGGTTGCCCAGTAATGTACCATGTAGAAGCAATTTGCAAAATAGAGCCATGGTGCTTAGAAACATTAATTTCACTCTTATGGGGAACAATTTGCTCTCAGGGTGGGGTTTTTTTCATCACAGGCTCAGGACCATTGAGATAGCAGCGTAGCAAAGATCTCTGTTAAATTCTTATCTATGGGTCAGGATATTAAAATGCCATGTAATTGGAACTCCTGTTTAGAAATATTAATAACTATTGTATTGAAAACCAAGCTAGTAAAAAATGAGAAAACAGCAAGCAAGGAGGGTTTATATAATTTCACTCAATTTTATGTTCTACATAGTTTACCAGGCCAAAAATAAATTATGTTTGAAAATCAGTCATGCAATGTTCTGGCCACTTTTCATGAAAATGGATTATCTCTCACAGTTCTCTGAGGCTTTAACCCCATGTGACATAGTAACATTTTAGGACAAAGCTGTGAGCCAGGCTTATGCAGGCATTAGCTAGCCAGGCATGATGTGAAGAGTTCCAGTGCCTGCCCATTGCAAAATGTTAACTCTACGCAGGGTCTTCCTGTTTCTGAAAGTTGAATTCACTCCTTAAATGTCCTCTGGAGTTGAAAGGGTTTTTGTCTTTGCTTATCAATAATTTGTTCTTTTTTGTTATCAGTGAGATATATCCAGTTAACAAACCAGAAGAGAATATTTTCTGGTTATCTATCACTTGCTGTTTTCACCTGGCAGACAACCTAACTCAGAATGACTTTGCTACATGGGAGAGTAGTAATAATAGCAGTGGTGCTTGTTATTATTGCTTGAATTAAAATATAACTTGCATAAAGTGAAGCAGTATTCAATGTTCAGCTCAATAAATTTTTACACGTATATCTAGCCAAGTAACCACCACCCAGAGGCTTTCCTTTCCCTTTCCAGTCAATACACATCTCTGTCTCCTCTCCCTCACACACCAAAAGGTAAACACTATTCTGACTTTTATCACCACAGCCTGGTTTTGGCTATTTTAGGACTTCTTATAAATAGAATCATTCAGTATGTACTCTTTGGTGTCAGGCTTTTTCAGCTTCATATTAAATGTGTGAGATCCCATCATGCTGTTGCATTTATCAGTGGCTTGTTCTTTTTCATTGCTGTATACTCTTTTATGACTAGGCTACAATTTAACCATTCTACTGTTGATAGACATTTGGGTTGTTTCTAGTTTTTGATTATGTAAAATATGAGCATTTATGTCCACGTAGCTTGGTGGACATATGCACCCATTTTTCTCACATACACTCACACACACACACACTCACATTTATACAAAGGAGTGGAATTGCTGGACCATAGGGTACACATTGGTTTAGCTTTAGTAAAAGTGCTCAGACTATCCACTGCGAGGGTATTTTTGATGGGAGGTGTACTGGTGGTTCACTGTTTGCCCCTATAGATTGATGCTGTTTTTCTCTGTCATACTCTGTGTCCTGAATCATCCTAATTTCCAGTTTCCTTATACTTTGGCTCCTGATTGGGTTTAGCCAATAGGATCCCCAGCATTTGATTGGACAACGGGGGAACAGAGAGAAAGAGCTCAGAGTACTTATTCCTCCTGTTGTCTTCCTGCTTCACCACCACCGAGAGAGAGGTCCCAAGCTTTGGCAGACAGCGCTCCTATTGGGCAGTCGCTCTTCCGAGACCTTGGCTCTCACTGGTTCTGCAAACGGCATTCTTCATCCCCACCTTTTTAGGTTCAGAGGGTAATCATGGAGAACTCTTGGTGCTAGTGTTGCACTTCATCTCCATCTAGCATGGCACTCTTAGCCCCACTCACATTCCTGAAAAAAAAAAGTCATTCTATAAAAATCTAAAACCTTTGAGTACTTTTTTTTTCCTTATAGGGATTTTAAACTGATATAGAGGGGAAGAAAAGATTTCGAGAGTTGTCAGAATGTGTTGAAACATATAGAGGTTCCTACTCAGCATGAAAGAACTGGCGCAGAGAAGAGATTGTGCTGAAAGTAGTTACTTAGGGTAATTCAAGTTAGCAAATATATTGGGTGTGAACCAGAACTCTGAGCAACATAAAGATGAGGTTCTCTACTTGTAGTTTTGTTGACAAGTAGACCCGGCTTTGATCTAGGCTGCACATCACTCTGCTGAGCCTCAGTTGTTTTGTCTATGAAGTAGAAAAGATGACTGTATCTGTTTCAGGTTGATCAGTAGCTCAATCACTATCATGCCTCCAGAGCAGTGAGATAGTAAAGAAAATCAAGGAAACCACACATTATGGTGACACAGTTTTGTAGTAGGCGTGGTAGTTGCTTAGCCATGACCAACTCTTAGCAACCCCATGGACTGTAGCCTGCCAGGCTCCTCTGTCCATGGAATTCTCTAGGCAAGAATACTGGAGTGGGTTGCCATTCTCTTCTCCAGGGAACCTTCCTGACCTAGGGATCGAACCTGGGTTTCCCGCACTGTGGGCAGATTCTTTACTGTCTGAGGCACCAGGAAAGCCCCAGAAGTTTTGTGATTTCTTTAAAGGGATGCATCCAGCAGTGGTAGGGTTATCAAGGAGGCATTTCTGAACTACTTGGAATCTTGGAGGCAAGGTCCCATGTATCTTCTAACTTCAGTGAAGCTGCAACCACCAAGCATAAAGAGGCTTGCTTCTGGTACAGTGGCTAAAACAAAGCAAGATTTGGGAGCCAGAACCAAAACTAGGAATCTAGACTTCGTCTTTTATTGGCTATATAACATTGAGCTAGTGATGTACATTCCTCAGTTCTCACCACTGTAAAATGATTCTTCTATCTTTCATAATAACTGTTATTAAAGAATTCAAAATGGTGCATAAGCATATTTATGAAAATGACTCTTCCTACCCAAGCTGAGTGCTAGTATAAGCTTTTAGAATATATAAAGCTGCTAGTAGAAGTGTGGGTACACTGCTATGGGGGTAATACTGAGAGTATATGTGTCAGGGATCTTAAGAGTACATGTGTCAGGGGCAGGGATGAAGCTGTGCGGGAAGATAAGATACCCAAGCTGAATAGACATGAAGTCTAGGAATGGTGGTACTGAGGTCTGACATGTGTGTATCTTGAATGCTATCCTGGTTCTGGGATAGAAAATTAAAATCTGTTATGCTTAAGCAGAAGAAATATGAGAGGCAGACCATTAATGTATGTAACCTACACTGGATTTGTCTGCAGGGATTTTGGGGTTTTACACTGGTGATTTGAATAAGTTCTCTTTTTGAAAATCTAGCACTGTATTCCTATAACCTTCATTTTATTCATTTTTAGAGACATAAAGTCAAGGTTAATCTCTGTGTTTGTATGTGTGTGTGTCTTTCTTATGTACACACTGACATATTTCAAAGCAAGCACTGACTTAATTAGCCAGAATGGAAGCAAGGATAAATAAAGGGATTTCTGAGAAAACAAATTCTAGTGTGTTTGTGGGCATGCATGCCAAAGTAAAAAAGTTTTGAAGGCAGCTAAGGCTTTGGGCAAATTCTAACAGTATTGAAGGCTGAGGAAATAGGCAAGGAAGCAAACAATGTGATTCTGGCTTCCTGCTGGTGATTCAGAAAATTCTGATTCGAAAACAAGAATTATTTTCAAAGGTCTTTTGACAGAGCTGACAGCTCCTTCGCTGTCAGCCACTCTCCAGAGACCCTAATGAGCTCTTCCTTGTCAGGTCTTTCTGTCTAAACAAGAAATTGCTAGTCTCTCTATCTGCCACCCTACTGTGAATGCACCTACCTTTGCTTTGCATAGTATAAATTATTATTTAATGCAAACACTTGTTCAGGTTGATCAGTAGGTTGTTTCTGTCAACCTACATCAATGTGGTCTTTAATGTGTCAGTGACTCAACATCAGAGTATGCATGTAAACAGTGGGTCAGAAAGAGCTTTTCTGTTGATAAACTAATAGGTATTTCTAAAGAAGTTGCTATAACTGTCGTTAGGAATAAAGATTCCTAAAGTTCTTGAAGATGGTCAAAATACTTTATTTTCCACAATAATAGCAAATCATAATAAAGGGCAATAAAGATGATACCCCAGAGGAAGAATGTTTCTTTAAATATATTTAATAAATCTCATGGCTCTTTCTCTGCAGTATTCAAGATCCTTGCCCAATTCTATGCAAAGAATAGAATGACTTCAGTTTTAGAATTCAGAAACCCACTTTTAAACTGGCTTTTGTTATTAGTAGTACAAACAGCACTGTTTTCTAGAATAATTTTTTGGCTGATTTCTTGATAGTCTTTGAAAAAAGAAAAAAAAAGATTCACCAGCTTCTCCCTTCTCTTCCATGTTAAATGGTGTTTTCCCACCATTTTAATATGCTTGCTCAGTACGGCATGGTTGGTTCAGAGCATGCACCTTGGAGCCAAATTCTTCTTGGTTCACTTTCCATATTTATCACTGCTCTGTTATCTGATGAGTCATCAATGTATTTGGAGTTAACTCCTCTCTGTTGTGATGCTTCCTTTTCTTTGATTACAATCTCTTCAAGCACATTAATTTTCAAGCAAATTCACTTTATATATTTGAGAAGAAGAGAAAACTACCCATTTCATTAAAAAGAGATGAAAAACTAAAATAACAACACAAACCCCCCACCACGCCCCCGNAAACCACCCCCACCACGCCCCCGCCAAATCATTGAACTATGCTCTTTAAAGTTTCTTTCTACAATCAAATAAAGCAGTTTGGTGTGTGTGTGTTTTAAGGGAAGAAGAGGAGGAGAAAGAAAGAAATAACAAAAGTAATCAGTGTCTACACTGTATAACCTTGAGTTTGACCTCTGGTATGACTGAGTAATCTCTTACTGATCTAACCCTCTTATAGATAATAACTCTGAACAAAATTTTAAGAATAATTTTTACTATACTGGAGAATAGAGAATGTTGAGCAAATTCTGGGCAGTAGTTGACCCTTGGATGAATAGAATGACATGGGTAAGTGTCCCATTTTTACATGTAGAACCAGTCTTTCCGGCCTGAAAAATGAGAGGGCAGAGATGAAAGGAAGCATAGCTGTAGGGAAAATGAAGGGAGAGGGAATCCAGGAAAGAGGAGAGCTAGAGATGGGAGGTTCCAGATTCTGTGCATACATTCTACCCAAACCTTAGATTGACTCCTGAACTACACATTTGTGGGACAGACTTAAAGCAGTCCAACTGAGGATGAAAGAATACAACTGATGTTTTAGTTGCCACTCAAAAGACATAAGTTCCAGTGTGAGAGCAATAAAATTAATTGCTTGCTAAAATAAGAACAACAAAGATCATTATTAGATCATTCACTATGTTTAGGACACAATTCAAGATAATTTGAAGTACACAGATTTGGGAAAGTATGCGTCAACCTCAAGAGAAAAGACAGTCAACCAAGACCAATGTAAAGAATAAATCAGATGTTGGAATTAGCAGACTAGGGAACTTAAAGCATCTATTACAACTAAGCATGATAAAATAAAGGAAAATATACATATAAGAAATGAAAACTAGAAAACTCAGCAGAGAAATTGAAAATATACCAGAGAATCATATGTAAATTCTATAAATGAAAACTTCCAATTTAAAATGAAAATACACTGGATAGGCAGATTGGAGAATAAAAAATGATAGAGAGATAAATGTAAAAATTGACATTGAGAGATATGTTATTTATTTTGAGAAGCAAAACAAAATAATACAAAATAGAGTTCCAGGGACCCAAGGAACAGTATAAAAGGGTATAATATGATATATATGTAATTGGAATCCTTGAAGGAGAAGGAAGAATAAGGCAGCAAATATATTTTAAGAAATAATAGCCAAAATTGTTAAGAAATTTGGTAAAAGACAAATTTTCAGATGTAAGAAGCTCAGTGATCTTGAAAGGGCAAATGCAAATCAAACTATACCTATGTATATCAGAGTCATTCTGCTAGAAAATCAAAGTTGAGAAGAAAATCTTGAGAGTAGCCAAAAGAAAATGACACATATACATAATGGAACAATGATCAAGGTTTGCTAATTTATTAGCAAAAACTATGAAGGCCAGAAGACAGTGTAACAACATACTTAAGAGTGTTGAAAGATTGAGACTTCAACCCAGAATTCTATTTTCAGGAAAAGAAATACAAATAGCTTTTAAGAAATAGAACAAAATAAAGACCTTCTTACATAAAATAAAAATAATCAGTTACCAAGCAGACTTGTGCTACAAAAATGGCTAAAGGAAATTCTTCAGAATTAGGGGAAATAAAAGCAGATAGAAACTCAGATACTCAGGAAGCAAGTGAGAGCATTAGAAAAGGTCTGGATAAGCATAAAGACACTTTTATTTTTAATTTCTTTAAAATATATGTGACTGTTTAAAGGAAAAGTTGCAATATCATCTATGAGGTATTTACTGTATGAAGATGCAATGAATATGACAATTATAATACACAGGACAGGGGAAGGGGTGAATGGACCTATATGGTTGAAAATTTCTGCACAATATTAACTCTAAGAAGACTGTGAAAAGTTACAGGTGTATATTGTAATTTCAAAGCAATCATTAAAAAATGATGCGAAGAAGCATAGCTAACAGCCAATGTGCTGCATGCATGCAAATTTGCTTCTGTTGTGTCCCACTCTTTGCAATCCTATGGACTATAGTCCACCAGGCTCCTCTGTCCGTGGGATTCTCCAGGCGAGAACACTAGAATGGTTGCCATGCCTTCTTCTAGGGGATCTTCCCAACTCAGGGATCGAATCCCCATTTCCTGCATTGCAGGCAGATTCTTCACCGCTGAGCCACTGGGGAAACCCAGTTAACAGCCAATAAATACATTCAAATTCTCTTCAAATTTGTATTGTAAAATACTTAAAAATACTTTATGTGATACAATTTAATTATGTTTTCCAATTCTGAATCTGCACATTAGCCTAGGGGGGGAAATGTGCATTTGAAAAAGGCTTAGGATGAATGCTGTTTATTTTGATTTAAAACCAAACAGAGTACTCATGATGAAGACTTCTGCGGTAGGGTTAGAAGAATTTTGTTTCAGGATTTTGGTTTTTAACTTCTAAACCCAAAACCATCTACTCTTTCCCTTGAAAATCTCTTTGCCCTTGTTCCTCTTGTCCCATATTCAGTGTGTTGCTTGGGAGAGGTTTTGTCTCCTCTGTATTCCCAGTCAAACTCCAGGAGAAAATCTAGAAGCTTGTGGGAGGGAAGTGTATGAAAAATAAACAGATGGGCCTGGATTTCCTGGAACACCCATATACTGATATTTTTCTTCTTAAGAGAATAGGTGAAATAATAAATTATTACCATTATTTTAAGCAAAGTAAGACTATAAAGGTCACAGAGATCATATCAGTAAGATATCTGCTTATTTCATTTAGAAATGATAAAAATATGCAAATTCAATTTTGTTCAGAATATTTTTGATATACCTGTATCTTTTTTTTAATTTTAAACTTTTTTTTTTTTTAACTATACTGGTCCTTTTTTTATTTTAAAGTATCACTTTATTTTATTTTTAAACTTTTTATTTTGTATCGGAGCATAGCCGATTAACAGTGTTGTGAGAGTTTCAGGTGTACAGCAAAGGGACTCAGCCATACATATACAGGTATCCATTCTCCTCCAAACTCCCCTCCCATCTAGGCTGCCACGTACCATTGGGAAGAGTTCCCTTAGCTATACAATAGGTCCTTGTTGGTTATCCATTTCAAATGATATATCTGTATCTTTGAAGTGAAGTGGAGTGAAAATTGCTCAGTCGTGTCCGACTCTTTGTGACCCCATGGACTATACGGAACATGGAATTCTCCAGGCCAGAATACTGGAATGGGTAGCCTTTCTTTTCTCCAGGGCATCTTCCCAACCCAGGGATTGAACCCAGGTCTCCTGCACTGCAGGCAGATTCTTTACCAACTGAGCTACCAGGGAAGCCCCTATATTTCTACAGAGCCATATTTATATTCATTTACATATTTATTTACATGTTGGTCTTCTATATCCACGAATTCTACCTCTGCAGATCCAACCAATCTTATATCAAAAATATTTTTAAGAATCTCAGAAAGTTGCAAAAAGGAAAACTTAAATTTATGTGCACTGGCAACTATTTACCATTTACATTGTACTAGGAATTATAAGAAATCTTGAGATGGTTTAAAGTGTAGTCATCCATTTGAATCTCTCAGGGGTTGGTTCTAGGAGCCCCCATGGACACCAAAATCCACAGATGTTCCAATCCCTTTTATAAAATGGCACAGAACAATGAGCACAACCAGCCTTCCAAATCCACAGATGTGAAATCTGTAGCTATGGAGGGCTGTCAGTATGTGGGAGGATGTGCCTAGATTATATGCAAATGTTACACCGTTTCATAAAAGGGACTTGAGCACCCTCGGATTTTGGTGTCCTGGGGGCTCCTAGAACCAATCCCCTGTGGATACTGAGTGACAACTGTTTATACATAGGTTAAGAATAAGAATATTTCTATGCAAAATAAAGCAAAAGAAAGTTTTACTATGACTTCACCATGGATGGATCTCATAGTTGGACTTTATTATGAATGGTTGGAGGTTGTAAGTAAATTTGCATCTGCATTTACAATCTACCCAGAACTTTCTTCCTCTTTATGAGTAAGAGAGGAAGATGTTTCCCCCTCTTATGGAATAGTTCCTGGGTGTTTCCTGTGGAGAATTAATTACAGTCTTGGCATAACCCCTTTATCAGCCTCTCCCTGCTGCTTCTCTATATGGGAACGAGAATTCCAGCTTCAGGGCTCTGAAAAATTGAAATGGCTGAAGTGCAAGTAATATCTAAAAGCTGTTTGTGTATTATATTAACCAGGGAATAAGTACACATAAAACTTTTTCAACTGTTTTGTTTTGGAGATTTTTTTCCCCCTAAATTCTTTCTTAAATTTTTTTAAAAAACCTTTTAATTTTATATCAGAGTATAGCTGATGAACAATATTGTGATAGTTTCAGGGGGATAGCAAAGGGACTCAATCATATATATATGTGTATCCATTCTCCTTGTTCTGGGGATTTTTAAAAGTGGTTTTAGTTGTGTCTGTATTCAGCATCATTTATGTTACAGCTCTCTGCTCATCTCATGCTTAAGAAAATCAAGAAATAGTTTAGCCCAGAGAAAGAAATTTCAGCCCCAGGACTTGCATGATGTGTTGGCTCTGCCAGGAACTTAATTCTCAACTTGAAGGATGCAGTAAGCTGTACATTAAGCTCTATAGGAGAATGATGGTTCTTAAGCTATATTACCTGAGATGAAATTGCAGTTCCACCCTTTTCCCTAGCTGCTGTAATCTTGCATAGCTACTCAACTTCTATAAGCCTTAGTTTTCTAACCTTTAAAATGGGGGTAATGATAGTATCCATACCATAGGTTAATTATACATATTATATCAAATAAATCATTTGAAGTACTCAACACAATGCCTGGCACAACATAAGCAATCTGTAAATGTTTGTTGTTATTATCATCACATTTCTGCCCATTTGACTTTTTCTATTTCAATAAATTTCCTCTCAGTCTCTTTGTAAAGAAACCAAAATCACTGTTAGCTCATCCCATCAAGCATCCATTAATAATGCAGATAGACAGGTTCATGTTTTATTGCCAGAGGCCCACATTACCCATAACCATCTTATTCAAAAGAAAGGATAAGAGTCAGCAGGTTAAATTTTTTCCAAACTTCAGCTTGTAGCCTAGAGCATCTTGGATCCTCAGTTGCTTCAGCACAAACCAACGTTTAGCTGATTTAAAAAGAAAAAATATATATATATACACACACACATATAAGCTACTCTCATTCAATAATTAAGGAAAGTAAAAAATGTATCCTGAAGTGGATTATTGTGCTACTTTTGATTTATAAATGTACTAGAATAGAAGATGTAAAAATATGTACAAGCTGATTTCACATTTCCTAATGCTCATGTAAGTAATACTATGTATATAGATTTGACAACAAATCACTTATATATCATAGTAAGATAAATATAATGGAATTTCCAAAATACAATTAATTTAAAACATACGTTTGGCAAAACTTAAAGTTCATGTAGGACTGTGAGCAGAGAGATGACATACTCAATTAGGAATGATTGCTCTGTGGTACTGACTCCAAATCTCATTCTTCCATTTTGATTCAATCATCATTTTCTCATCTTTCCTTTGCATCTTGTCCTGATGTCCTTTCATTTATTCATCTTTCAGTAAAATTTAGCTTTCCTCCTCACAATCAATCATCAGAAGATGTCATTTGGTTATCTCTTCAACTGAAAACAATTCCTTTTCCTCTGGAAGCTGGTTTTTTATTTATGTAGATAATTTACACAGGAGCTATGATTTTCATGTGCAAACCCATTCTCCTGATGAAGGTCAGCTGGACCTTGGGTAGCAGTTGCTTTAAGCTGAACCAATCATATCATCTTAGAGTTTTAGAACTGGGAACAAGAAATAGTCTCTGAATGGTAAATAAATAATGATATGTTGACATGTTAAAAGAATTAAACCCAGGAGCACTAGGAAACCCATAGGAACAGAGAGGCAGAGAAAGCTGGTTAGTGGAGAACAATGAAGCAGAAATAATGGCTTCATAGAAAAGACATCAGCTTGAGTTCCTGGCAACCTTTTAAGACATAGTTTGTTTCCTTGATAACCAGGTGCATTCTTACTCTAACTATGGTGTATTTATTTACTCATTTAATAACTCATTCACTACACATTTTTTGAGTGTCTACCAGACATTGTGCTAAGCATTTTACATACCTTATCTCACGGAGTTTTAATTAGAAGTCTAAACCACAACCAATCAACCAAATAGCAAAGCAATGGACAACATTTAATATACTTTGACAACATCTCAGGAAAACTTGGAGGCTTGATTCTGGCTATCATGCAGACCTTCAAGTGAAATCCCAATCGTATTATGACTACTGTCAGCCAGGTGAGCTAAAAAAAAGTTTCTATTTATAAAACTCAGAGCTATCTTCCAAGATTGCACACTGGCAAGCAGATGATAATCTCTGGCCCTTATTATGACCTATTTAAGGTTTCACATAGTCACCTGAGAATTTTGATGTGAGAAAGAACAGTCATAAGGCAGCACAACTATGACTTTTAGTTTTCACTTATGAAGTACAATGACTAGGGGTGTAAAGTTAATGGCACCTAAAGACAAAAGAAAATTAAATCTTCTGACCTACAGCTTCCTAACATTCTGCATCTATTTAGCATAATGATGCGAGTCCATAAATACCTGTCTCTAGGGAAAATATTTTCAGGTTATTCTAAATGTAAGTAAGATGTGGAGAAGTTATAATTTGTTCTGCAAGTAGTCAACTTTACGAGAGAAAGGAACGTGCTTGCTTTGGTTGTATGTGCTGCCATTTGTCAGCTTCTTTTTTTCACTGAGGAAGCAGAATTGTTCATATTAGAGCAAGGCATTAAACTTTTACTGAATTTCTCATATTAACTGATATGATGTGGGTTATTGTTAGAGCAAAGACATAGGTAGTTTCATGGTCACCTGTGTTCCCTGAGTTTTTGTTCTTACCACCCGTTTAGACATTTTTAATCCACTGCATGTCTGGCTGACATCATTGCCTATCAAAATTGCTCAAATCTTGTTTTCTCAAAGGAATTTGGCTATACTGTTGAATTCCATATCCCTCCTCTATCTAAATCTCGCTTAGAATAAAGTCCTAATTCCTTCTCATACCTGTAAGACTAGATCTGATCTTGGCTCAGTCCTCCTTTTGTTAGGGGAAGCACGCTGATTGAAACCGCCCACCCTGGCCAGGCACCATAGTAACCATTTGCATGAGTTGTTTTATGACAGGAGGTCCTGATAAGGAATACGGAACTAATAAGCCACCACCAGCCGGAAGAGTTCAGGAAAGGTCGAGAGGAGACACTGCCTGTCCAATAGAAATGTATTTTCTCTTGGTTTTGAGGGCTAGCAATCTGAGATGGACGTTTTGCTAGGGTTTCCTTTGAGGCCTCTCTCCGTGACTTGTAGATGGCCAGCTCCTCTCTAGGATTTCTCATGGTCTTCCTTCTGTGCATGTCTGTTGTCTTACTATATCTCCTCTTCTTATAAGGACACCAGTCATATTGGATTAGGCGTGGGTGTATGCTAAGTCACTTCAGTCTTGACCGACTCTTTGCAACCCTGTGGACCATAGGCCACCAAGCCCCCTCTGTCCATGGGATTCTCCAGGCAAGAACACTGGAGTGGATTGCCATGCCCTCCTCCAGGGGATCTTCCTGACCCAGGGATTGAATCCATGACTCTTATGCCTCCTGCATTGGCATGTGGGTTCTTTACCACTAGTGCCACCTGGGAAGCCCATTGGATTAGGACCCACTTGAATAACCTCATTGTACCTTAATTACCTCTTTAAAGACCTTATCTCCAAATACAATCACATTCTGAGGTACTGGGGAATAGGACTTCAACATAAAAATTTGGGGAGAATATAAATAAGTCCATAACAAAAATGCTCTTTAGCCATTGATGAATATGCTGTGGGATGTTTGGACAGGACATATTAGTCATAAGGTACTTGGGAAGAGGTAACAGAAGAAGTACAATGACTCATAGAAAGCTTTGGGTGTGACAGAATCTTGAGCACTTGTGCTGTTGGCTGCATAGACTCAAATGGGAGGTTTCATGATTATTTTTTCCAGAAGATGGTCTTTGGGGAGTCAAAGTGGGAGGGGAGCCTAACAGAGGAGGAGAGATCAGTATATAACATCAGCAGGCTGCCAGGGCAGCCCTGTATCTCTTTAGAAAGTTGAAACTCACTTAAGGGATTTTGGAAGGAAACTGTCTCTCATGTTCTAATAAGAAAGCAGGCCTTGTGAAAAATGATGGTGTAAGAAAATCCTTTCACTTCCATTTATCATAAACTATTCAATGAAATGACTATGCAAATAGTGAGCAACATGATGGATTAGGATAATATTATTAAGGAATTTAGAAACTTTTTTAGGTAGTTCTTGGGAAATGTTTTTGAATAAATAAACACCGCATTGTCTAGCTCAGGCAAAGATCCACAGGATTTATCATATTATTGAAAGGAAAAGAAAAAAATGGAGAATTTAATGTTCTGAAAGATTTAATGAGGCTGCCCCAACTACTAATAGTAGCTCACTTTTAAGTTAATTATTTGCTCATGTGGGAAAACAATAAGCAAAACTACAGGAGAAATTGAATAATCTTGCCTGAAAATTGTCAATAGTGATGGCCAAAGCTTGGCTTCTCTGCACCGGTGCCAAGTTGAATTTTGGAGACAGAGTTTTGGATGAAGCAGAAAAGATGATCATCATTTGTTTTCCAGGCAAAGGGGGACACAGTAGGCTCCTGCCTTCAAAAACTATGGGTCCCAACCCGGAAGGATTTGGAAAGGAGTTTTATAGCAATAGTTCAAGGGTGAGTTGCTGGTAATACTAGGGTGTGTGCAGAGCCTGCACTCCCTCAATCGCCCCTCAGGTGGTCCCATCCTAATCTCCAGGAGTCTCTCTGTTCTTAATCTTGCCTCTGGTGGTTTCCTGGCTGCTCCTCCCTTGGTCAGCAACTGTTTGAATATGCACTTTGGAGCTCAGGGAAGGTCAGAACAACTGTGATTTCTGAGCTGTGCAACAATGTTGTGTGGATGTCTGGGAGAGGTCCTTTTACTTTTAGGATGAGAACTTGAAATGAATTCAAATTCTTCACTGTGTAAGGGGTTGAGATACAAACACTTCTGAGAGAAAAATGACTTCTTAAAAATATCCATAATAACTAGGCATGCCCTGGGATTTTTTGGCAGAACAACTCAAAAACTTAAGACTTGTGCATTAATTCCTGGGGGAATTTGATTAATTTTAGATGGTTTTCTAGATTTAAACATATGGGGATGATTTTAAAAATTACATCCAACCTAATTTATGCTGAGCTATAAACAGAGGAATATAGGTTCTTATAGTATTCTTTTATTAAGGCATTTACATCTACTGTTGAGCATTCGTATTGATGAGTTTGATGGGCTGATGAGTTATGATGCAAACCATTAGGGCAACTAAACTCTTCTAGAGAGAAGGTCCTGAGAAATTATTTACTTACAATCAGTCAACATAAAATCTATTTTTCTAATATTGGACTAACATGAACTAGTGTCATTAATAATGGTAATTTTCAAGCAATGCATACCCCAGAGTAGAAAAGTATATCTTCTGGTTTTCTAATTTTAATAAAAAGTTTATGCTTAATTCTAGTATCTCTATTATTCATTGCCATGCATCCTAAACAAACAAATAAAATCTGGTTATTAACACATTCTCCAACTGGCACCTCAATGACCTTTGGGACCTCTGGCAAGTCATTCATCCTCTCTGCTACTCAGTGTCTTTATCTTTCTGATAAGTTTCCAAAATAGACTTTGTTTTGATTAGTCTAGGGATGGCCCAAGTGTTTCCATGCTTCAAAGCTCCTCAGATGTTTCTATCATGCAGTGTAGGTTGAGTACCAGCCACCTGGATAATGTTTGTTTTCTAGCTCACTTATTTTATAATCCAACAGTGGTTCTTATATAATGGTAGATCATCCACCATTACAACCAGAGATAAAATTTGCAGAGTTTTGTCACGGTGAGAGTTTGGAAGTAAGGGTTGGAATTTCACCCTGCTTTCTGCATGAGACTCGGTAAAAGCTTGCATGTGACTTTGGTAGAGGGGCTTATGGTAGAGGGGTCTATGAAGGAATGGAGCAGGGATGGGAGAGCTGAACTGAGACAATACTATGAATTCCAGCGAGGTCTGGGGATCTGAACTAAAAATCACTGGGAGAAAGTAGCAGGATTGGTGCTGAATGGTCAACGTTGCACTTTTCAGGTATGATGACACTTACCTAGGAGAATCTGCAAATTCTGGGATTTTCCAAAAAAGAAGTAAACTAAAATATCTGAGTATATTCATTGATATTATTGAATAGTGGGATCACACAGGCCTATGGATACAAAGGAAATGCACAGTGGAGTAAGAAAAGAAACTAAGAGTCCCCCATCTCTGCAAACTCAACCTGCTGCTTTCCTCAAGTAGGCGCTGCTTACATTTTGTTGTGAATCCTAGCTGATGTTTTCTTTGCATTAACAATTCTGTAAAATATTCATGAAACCTATTCACTGATAATGCTTTTAAAAATAAGATTAGAATCATCATGTTATGCTATTCTGTGACCTTTACCCTTTGCCCATCCCCCATCTAATATATTGAAAAGATATGTAATATATGCTGAACCATGCTGTAGCTCATTCCTTTAAATGCTATTCAGAATTTTTGGTGAAGGGCGGGGGGCGGGTACCATAATGCAATAAACTAGTTCTTTCATGGTGAATGTTTTAATCATTTCTAGTTCTTGGCACCCATGAAATATTCAGTAGTGAATATTGTTCATATGTATGATCAATTGGGCAAATTAATATTTCTGTAGACTAAGTCCAGTGATGTAGAATTCTTGGGAGAAATGGATTTATTTAGAGTGTAGATAAATTTCCAAATTGTCATTCCAAATTGTGATATTATTTAATAAGGCCATCAAGATGGTATGGAGTTTCTATTTTGTCACAGCTATACCAATCTGGAGAATTATCAATGTTTTGGATCTTCACCATTTTGATAGGGGAATTGTTACTTTGCAACTTCAGTTTGCATTTCTTTACTTATCAGTGTAATGGTTTTTAAATAGGAATGTTTACAAAGAGACTCCTACTCACCTACCAACAACAACAAAAAAGATGATGTAAGTTTTCTAGTTAGATGGTAACGAAAGAAAACAACTGAAAGGATATATTGGAGGAATTTAGGCAGAATGCAGGCATTAATTTGCATTTTCTAATCAGAAGTGCATTTATTTTTCTCTTTGTCCTCTGTGGTTCTCCAATTTGAATATTCAGAAGGAGAAAAAGGCTGACTGAATACTTAGCTTTAACAACAATAGTTAAACATATTCCTTTTCTTATGATTCTGCTGCAGCTTTCTAAAGGTGAAACATTTCAAACAAAGTAAATCTTAATTTTGAATTCAGATGGCTCACTGCTGAAGTCATGACGAACACAGCAGAAATGAGAAACTTTAGAATGTCTCACCTCTATAGTCAAATGGGCATTTCCAAAGAATATTAGGATGATGTGGGCCCTGGGCATCAGTTCCACCGTCTCTTTTCCAGCCTTGTCAAAGCCAAGGTGAATGGCTACCCTGTACAGAAAATGGCCCTCAACATGAATTTCCTGGGCTGGCTGGCAGGCACCATGTTCTCCAAAATGATTTGTCCTGGAACATTTGCTCTCTCACCAGGTTCTCCTTTCCCCATTTTCCTGTCCTCCTCTCTCTTATCCTTCTAAGTTTCTCACTAGCACAACACCCCCTCCCCCTTCAGGGAGCAAGCTTCCTCAACCAGTGCAGTCACACATGAGTCTCCTAGGACACCCATTAAGGGGAGCCCCGATTCTCTTTGCACTGCAGCTTCACTCCCCACCCTTTCTCTTTCCCCTTCCTCTGTCTCAGCCTCAGGCTCTATGCTATCAGGCTCTTTCCCTTTGTCCTACATTAGTTTATCAAAAATCTGGTCCCTTTAGTCAACCGTGAATGTCTGAGAGCATGCACTTGGAACAGGCCATTGCTCTTGGAGCCAAGCAGAGTGGTATGCACGATGAATTATGAAACCTTTCCCGAACAAGTTTAGAATCTCTGGTTCTGCCAGGGCACTGGACCAATGAATGGGAACATGTGTGACAAATCAGAA